ACTTCTTCAGCCTTTGAAATTGGTTGCTTTCACCAACATCATCTTATACCATCTCTTCCTTTTGGTTTCCATTCTTTCAATGAACACTTCATTCTTTCTAATAACCTGGAAATCAATTGATCTTCTTGAGCTGGTAGACCACTATATATTTTGTGCAAATCTCTCTTTAGCTTACTATAAAAGGATCCATGCTCTCTATACTTGCCATAACTGAAATTTTGAGGGGCAAGACTTGGATTCAAGGTAGTCATTGGTTTGAATCTTGACTCTACATTGTGGGCAAGTTGAAACCTGAGTCTCAGTTTCCTCATCTGTAAAATGGGGCTAATAATAACCCTAGTATTTACCTTACAGAGTTGTTGGGAGGCTCAAATAATATGCATTAAGTCCCTTAAAATTTCAAGGGGTTCTCACGAGCCAAAGTTTTCTCTTGCTTTTGGTGTTAGTTTTGGGGGCCTATTTGCTTTTCGAGGGACTTAATTGCCAGTAAGTCCTAGGAGATACTTTTATCTGTATTGGGCTTTTCTCTTACTCCAGGAGACTACTTGCTGCTTTGATCCATAATTCGCAGGTTTCTGCCAAAGCTGAAATGCAAACAGAAACTAAGCACAGCTGTTGTCTCTAAGAAGGTCTTAAGTAGAAATCCAACTTCCTGCCACTCCTTCCTTTTCTCTCTTTGCCCAAGTGATCAGACTTCAAACACCTTACACTTCCTTCAAATCTCTTTGCTGTCTCAGCATCTTTCTTTATTGTAGTCCAATATATGCACATAAACATGTCTTTGAATCCCTGTGGCCTCCTAAATGTACAACTTTTGAAAAGTTCCAATGCTCCCCTTCTTTGTGCCCTTGGTTTTCACTTTTCAAAGGCCCTGACTTCCTTTTGGGAGAGCTGGCAGTGAAGAAACACACATTTATTAAGTGCATGGTGTCAACCTGAAATTTTTATGAAAACAGTCAATATAACAAAATGGAGGTCTTTAATCGAGGCAAAGGAGTTACAGCTTGAGGTACCACAAAGCAAGTGCTGGGTACCAAAGGAGGGGGGCCGGGAAAAGGGTTTACATAGAGTACCGAGGCAGAGAGAATGACTAGGTTGCTGTGGAAGGGGTTAGGTATCTTACAGTACCACCAGATAATTTGTTTTGTATACCATACAAAAGTCCTTAAAGAAAGCTTGGAAATCTGGGGAGGGGAGAGTTACAAAATAATCAGAGGCCAGAGTGACAATATCTGGTCACCCTCAGGCAAGCAAGTATCTGAGGCCAGATTTGAACTCATGGAGTTAAGTCTTCCTGACTCCAGGCCCAGCACTCTATCTACTGTACCACCTAGCTTCTCCCTTTCTACTGCTAAGCAAAGCTCCTTTTACTGTTAGGTGGGCTACAGATACTTCATTTCATTTTGATCTTGAATCTGAATCTGAACTACCAGACTATAATCTTTCCTGGCTTTTAACACCAGCCCCAGGCACCTCACTACTGCCATCTTCTTAACTGCTGCCATGCACCTTCCTCACCTGGATTGGCAGCTTCTGCCCAGCTACCCGACTATGACATCTATCGGCTGTACTGCTGTACTTAAGTCTTCTCCCACTTTCTACCTCTTGCTCTGGGAACTGTGATCAAATCAATACCATCATTGCTTATAGAAAGGATTCAACTGATTGATCAAGTCTCAGAGACAGCTTTCTTATTTTAAGGAAAAAAACTAGCCTAGTCTACAAGGCAGAGACTCTTGTAGATATTGCTGCTATTTTTAATAAACTACCCTTTACATTAAACCTCTGCCCCCCCAGGGGAAAAAAAACTTTATATATATTTTATTTTTATTTAAGCATGTACATGTTGTCCCTTCTCTGCCAATAAAATATAAGCTTCTTGAGGGCAAGGACTCCTTTATTATATCTTTGCATCCCTTTCACTTAACCTAATACCTGGCACACAGTAGGTACTTAAAAATTATTGTTGAATTGTCCATTCTCTAAGGCACTCTCTCATCTCCCCTAATGACTTAGTCTTCCTCTCTAATTCAACACCAGCCTTCATAGTTGGTGACAAATGTTCACATTAATGACTCATTTATCAATCTCAACTTCTATGACTATTTTTCAAAAGTCAAGTTGGCCCTTCTCTTTGAAAGGCTAATCCCTCCACATTCTGGCTCCAACCTTCCTTTCTAGCCTCATATCACATTCTCCTCTTTTACAAGTTCTGCCTCTTGTCCAAATGGACTACTTACTGACTGTTCTGATTTAATCAATGAAGCAGTTTTGGGGTAACGGATAGAGCTCTGACTTTGGAGCCAGAAAGATTTAGGATTAAATCCCAACACAGTCACTTACTAACTATATCACCATACAACCACAGACAAAGCACTTAACCTCTCTAAATCTCAGTTTCCTCACATGCAAAATGGAGAAGGTCATACCAATCTCACAAGGTAGTTGTAAGATAACATGTCATGTCTAAAATACGCTCCCCTTCATTTGTTTGTTCATTTATTAAGCACTGATTTTGTGCCAAGCATTATACCAGGGTTGGGGATTTACAAACAGAAATGAAGCAGTCTCATTCTTCAAAGAGTTTATATTCTATTGGCTAAGGAAGAACATGTACACAAAAAAGCAAATACAACATATTTACAAAGTATTCATGGGGCTCATGGGCTCTAGTAACTGGGAGGTGGCACTTGAGCTGGGTTTTGAAGGATGCCAGAGAGTCTTGGGGTCAGAGGTGGGGAGAGAATGCCTCCCAGGCATGGAGGATAGCCTAAGCAAAGGCATATCTGAGGGAGATGAAATGCCATGAATGGGGAACAAGATATAAGCCAGTCTGGCTGAAACATAGAGTGTGTATAGGGAAGTAATGTGCAGTAAGCCTGGAGAGTTAAGCTGAAGCTAGATTGCAAAGGACTTTAAAAAGCCAAACACAGGAGTATGTATTTTATACTAGAAGCAACAGGGAGCCACTAGAACTTTTTGAGCAGGGTAGCACCATGGTCAGACCTTTACTAGAGGCAGCTAGGTGGCTCAGTGGAGAGCATGCCATCCATAGCATGCTCTCTTTGAAATCAGGAAGGCCTGAGTTTGAATCCAGCCTCAGATACTTACCAGCTGTGTGGCCTGGGGTAAATCACTTTACCTCTGCTTGCCTCAGTTTCTTCAATTGTAAAATGGAGGATAATAATAGCAATATACCTTCTAAAGTTGTTTTGAGGATCAAATGAGATAATATTTGTAAAGTGCTTAGCACATAAAAGTGCCTGGCACATAGGAGGTCCTACATAAATACTAGCTATTATTATAACTTTAGTAATATTAGCTTGGCATCTATGTGGAGGACATATTAGACAGAGGAAAGACTGGAAGCATGAGACCAATTAAAAGATTTTTGCAATAGTAGAGGCAAGAGGTAATGAGGGCTTGAACCAGGGTGGTGGCTGTGTGAGTAAATGGGAATAGATCTGAGAGATTTTGGATGTATATTCAACAAGATTTGGCAACTTATTAGATCTAGGGGATGACGGTGAGATCAAAGAGTAGAAGATGGAAAAATTGTATGAACTGACATAGAGTTAAATGAGCAGAAACAAGAGAACAAATTATATAATAACAGGAATATTATACAGACAAAAAACTTTGAAAGGCTTAGTAACTCTGTTCAACACGACGAAAAGGATTCAAGATGAACATATCAACCTCCTGATAGAGAAGTAATAGATTCAGAGTACAGATTGAGATTTGTTTTTTAACAAGGCCAATGTGAGGAATTTATTTTGCTTGATTATACATGTTTGTAACAAGAGTTGTTTTTCTTGCTTTTTTTCAAGGGGGGAGGCAGATAGGAAGGAGAGAATGAGGATCTGAAAATAAAATAAAATTTAATTAGAATTCTTTTAAAGAAGAGGATGATTTTGAGATTGAAGATTTAGGAATCTGGGAGAATAGTGGTGCCTTCAACAGAGAGGGAAAATAGGGACACACAAAAGGATTGGGGTGAGGAAGGTAGGAAGGAGGGAATGAGGATATGAAAATAAAATAAAATGTAATTAGTTTTTTGGGTTGTTTTTTTTAAGAAGAGTAGATGATGATTTTAAGATGGAAGACCTGGGAGAATAGAGAAGCCATCAACAGAAATAAGGAAAACAGGGAGACACAGGTGGGGTGGGGGAAGGAAGGAAGGTAATGAGTTCTGTTTTGGACATGTTGACTTTGAGATGCTTAAAAGGACATATAATTTATATCGGATTGGCAGCTGGTGGTGCCAGACTGATGGAGTTCAAGAAAGACCCAGGCTGAATACATATGTGAGTACGTGTACTGCATATATTATGTATACATATATTGTATGTGATACATGTGTATGCAGTTTGAGTCTTTCCTGAACTCCATCAGTCTGGCAACACCAGCTATCAATTGGATATCATCTTTGCACAGAGATAACTGTTTAACCTGTGGGAACTGATGAGTTTACCAAGATAAATGGTAGGGAAATAAAAGCAGAGAGCGCAGAACAGTGGCTTGTCCATAGCAGATGATTCATCAATGCTGGTCGAATGAATGAACTACCTCTCATCTCGGGTAGGCAAGCAAGACAACCGGGATCCGGTGTCTACCTGGCCCCACATGGCTGGGTTACGTTAAGATCACTTGCTCTCTCTGTCCATCGAAGGTGCTGGGATCAATGTTCCCTTCCAGGGCGCGTCCAGAACACTTGCAATCCGAGGTTCACAGGAGCCCCTCCAGTCCAGCCCTGCCACACCTCGGGCCAGAGGCTGCCCTCCCGGCAGCCCCGGCTCCAGGGCCCCGCCCTCTTTCAGGATTGGCTGCGCCGGTCCTCGCTTCGCGCTCAGTGATTGGCCGCGGTGACCGTCGGTCGGCCGAGCTGGGCCCCGGCAGCTGAAGACGGAGCCATGAGCGGAAGGGCCTGAGCTCGGCTTCTAGCTTCAGCCTCGCACCGACTGCGGCGGCGGCGGCGGCGGCCCGGGAGCTGGGGCTGAGCCCTGAGCGCCGCCCGCCCGCCGGCCCGGACAGCCGCGGGGAGGGCAGGTGAGGTGGAGGGAAGCGGGGAGTGGCCAGGCCGGGGCGCGAGCGCGGGGCGGAGAGCCGGCGGCCAGGGCCGGAGGGGTGGGGGACGAGGAGCCGGGTCCTCCTGGGGGAAGGGGGAGGGGATGAGGAGGGCGCGAGCCAGCGGCGGGGCCCGGGGGGCTGCGGCGGCCGGGGCAGGGCCGGGCGGGCTGCGGGCCCGGGGGGCCGGCTGCTCCTGGCACCGCGCCCCACTCCTGCTCCCCGCCCGGAGACTGCCGCATTCTGTCTGTCAGAGGCGCCGGAGGGACCCGCGCCTGTGCCAGCGCCGCGGAGCCGGGCCAGGGCCGGGTTCGGGGCGCCGCATCGCCAGGCGGGACCCCAGCGCCGCTCCCGCCCCGCCTGCCTGCGTGACCTTGGGCCAGCCCCTGCCGCCCCTCTTTTGGCCTCCGTAAAATGAGAGGTTTGGAGTCGACGATCCCAGGACCCCTCTAGCCCCAGACCTTCGCAGCCCAGCCCCCTTGGGGCTGCCCTGCCGGGGCGGCTGGGCACCCAGGTACTCCTGTGTCCCGCCCTGGTGCCTCCCTTCCCAGCTGTCATTCTTGGACTCTCTCCTTCCCCCTCCCCCCATCTGGAGCCTCTCTGGGGACCACTGCCTCCCACTCCACGCTCGTTTACTTGATCTTGAAGAAACGAGCGCTTGGGCTTTTCATTCCTCACTCACACTCATTCTCTGAAAAGGTAAAATAAGGAAAACATACTTGTCACCTAAATTAAAGTCACCTAGATTGAAGTCTCTCCTCTCTTTCCTCAAATTCTTCAGTTATTACTGAAAAATTACATAGGATATCAGACTGAGGTGTAAGTGAGGATAATTCACATTAGTACTAGTGTGTAAAGTGTTTGACTCCCAACAACCCTGGGAAGTAGGTAGAGCATATGTTATTCCCATTTTACAGAGTAGGGAACTGTGGCTTGGAGATCTTAAGTGATATGCCCAAAGTCACACAGTTTAGTAAGAAGCAGAGTGGAGAATCAAACCCTGGTCAGACCATGTTGGCATCTCTCCTAGGAACCTTAGCATCCATCAGTTTCTCAGAATAGCTGTGCTGAACAGAATTTGAAGAGGGCTGGAATGAGGGAGTGAGGCAGTGTAGAGTGACTTAAGTGAGGCCTTAGGCAAAGTTGTGTTATTGCTAATTTAGCTGGTGTGGACCCCTTATCAGCATTAGTACATTTTGAGCATCTTGAATTGGGTAATGTTCCTAATTTCTTCCTAGGGAATCTGCTAGGCTATCTTAGTGAGTGAGATAGAAAATGCCTTCCAGGAAGAACCTTGTCTACTAATTCCAGGCAGAGACTGTTAGTTCTGTTTAAGAAGAGAAATGGTTTGGCTCTTAATTTAAATATCTTATTGCAGACTAACTTTTATGTGGATTTAACTAGATGACCTCTAAGTTTCCCCCCTGCCCCCCCCCCCGTTCTGTTTCCTTTATGCCTCTTTAGCCCAGTGAAATTCATTCTAATTTGTTGCCAGTTTTTATATCCTGATACATTTCCTTTTGTTGGTAAATTTCCAGAACCAGCAGTGAGATGAATGTTAACATTGACAATCTTTTAGCCAGTAATTTGCTACAATGCAAGAAAGCATTTAACCTTGATTCAGTCAAGGTTCTTTCATTTTTCTATGCAATCTTTTCTTTTTCCTTTCAGAGGTCTCCTTGTAAGTTAAAAATCCCATTTTAACATAGTCTTCCCTGGGAAAATCTTGACTTTCTTGAACATGTCACATTTTGTTCTCAAACTGTTACCAATTTAAATAAACCAGATCAAATTATCAGACCACTAAAATATTAGGTAAATTTAATCTTTGAAAAGTTCCTATGTAAAATATTAAATGTCGTATTTGTCTCAATAGTAATTCAAATCATATTTCTTCCATTTCATAGTGTTTGAAATTCATTGTCCTAAATGTCAAATATGGAGCATTTATCAGCCTCTACCAAAGTTTCCAAAGCTAAGCACAGTTCAGGCTTAATTTCCAGCATTTTTTTTCTTTGTAATATTTGCTGATCTGACTGTTGTAAGGCTTATTTTTCTAAGCATAGAGGGAATAGGATATCTTTTTTTTACATACCCACCTTAGTGATTGAATTGTAGTAGTGAATAGATAAGAGTTCTTATGTGCTGGCAACTGTGCTAATAATCTAAATAATTGTCTTGTGAAATTTTTCCAGCTTAAGGTAGGGAAGGGGAAGGAAACCATGCAGATTTTTTCAGATTTATCTGTTGGTATTTGTTTGAGTTTGAAAAGTCAAATCCCCTTGAGAATAACTAACCTTTTAAAATATCAATTTCCTGAAGACTTGAAGAAATTAAATATTGAACATTAAAGTAGCATTTGATATACATTTAACTTTATATTAAATATTCCCTTAGTAATCCAGGTACTTTCACATATTCTTTTTTTTTAATTTCTTTTACTGATGTATTTTGTTAGAATGACTTCCTCAAAATTCTATCTGCCCCCATAGTTACCTATAAAAAGTTAAGCAACAATACCTAGTGTAGTGATTGCAGTTGACAGTACATGTCATTTTCCATTTTTGTGGTTTATTTAACAAAAATTAAGGATGTGTGCTTTAACTTTAATAATTTGAAATCAACTTTGTCTGTTGTATTTAAGTTTAGTTTCGCTGCCTTTTAATGTTACCTTTAATATATACAATGACTTAGGATCATAAATTTAGAGCTGGAAGAGACCTTAGAGGCCATCAATTCCTGTTCTTTCATTTTACAGATGAGGAATCTTGTAAATTTGGGAGGGGTTTGGCTTTTTTGACTAAAAATCTTTCCAAATTGTACTGAATTATTCATATTTTCCGTTCCTTCTGGTGTACTATCTCACTGCATTTATATACTGCACTTCTTTAAGCCATCCCCTAGTCATTGGGCACGTAATTTCTTTCCACTTTTTAACTATTAAAAATACTACTTCTATGAATATTTTGGTACATTCAGGTCCTTTCTGTCATTGACTTCCTTGGGATATACATCCAGTATTGAGATTTCTGAGTAAAAAACTATAAATGGTTTATCTACTTTTCTTGAATAATTCCATTCTCTCTAATTCATACCTTCAGCAGTGAAGTGGGGGGCTTTGTCTTTCTGCATCCCTCCAACATACTTTAATTGTTTCATAAGAAAAGACATTTGAGGAAGAGGGAAACAAGGTAGAAGATATAAAGAAGTAGTAATTTTCTTGTAACAATATAGGGGAAAGAGGCCAGGACTTGGAATTGGGATTTGAATCTTGTTGCCTATGCTGGATATGTGCCCATGGACAAATTACTTAATGTTTCTGCCTTAGTGGGCTTATCTGTAAAATGGAGATAATACTTATATTACTTCACTCACAGAGTTGTAAGAATAAAATGAGGTCATGTGAATTTTAAAAGTACTGTATAAATGTCAACTATTAATAGGCATTAACAGTTTTCTGTTGTTAGTTTACAGTTGTCATCTGGAAGTATGTTCAACATTAATTAAACTTGAAGCTCACATGCAAAGAGTGCTTCAAAGTTTATAGAAAGCTTTCCTCAGAACTTTTCTGTGAAGTACGTAGCTAGCACAAGTATCATTATCCTCATTTTGTAGGTTGAGAAACTAAAGTTAAATGAGTTTACACATTTGATTCTGAAGTGCAACCAGTTGTGGACTCTTATCCCATCTTATCCCATTGAAGGTTGGGGTGGGGGAAGGACATTAATCCACATTTCTATGTACAATTGAACTTTGATTCAGTGACTGTGACTGTTTAAAGAATGATTAGTTCTCATACTATAGTTTGTTACAAAAAGAAAGCAGATGAATCATGCTGTATAACCTTGGGTAGGTAATTTCAACTCTCTGGACGTAAATCACTCAGATAAAGAGGTGAGACTAGCTGATGTTTCTTTCCAGTGCTAAAACTTGATATATTAAGCATTTTCTTTAGTCTTACAAATATCTAGCATCAAAACTTTAGAGTTGAAATGGGTTTTTAAAATTTAGTCCAATACTCTCATTTTGTTGATGAGGAAACTGAGGCCACAGTGGTTAAATGACTTGTCTTGGATTGAGCAGTAGCTGGGTGGAGACTAACACTCAAAGTTATTGCCCTTGGTCCAGTGTTCTTGCTACGCCCACCTTATGAGTTACAGAGGTTATAAAAATGTGCATTTTGGGTTTTTTATCTTTTTTATTTCTCAGAGCTATTCATATATTACTAGTCATTCTATTAGTTCCTACACTCCCTTTCAGTTAGATTTTGCAGGGAATACCTATCTGTACACTATTTAGTGTCCTTCAACTAAAGTTCTACTCTAATATCTCATCGTCTGTGGAGATGACTCTGGATTCTATAAGGCTGTTCCACCAGAATGAAAGTTCTGACAGGTCTCACTAAACTAGAAAGGCTTAGGGTATTAGTCCAGTAACACAATTTTTGCCTGCTGACTGAGGACCAGTCTACAAAATTTGGAAAGGTTCATCATCAGAAAGTTGGGTACCGTATGGTGAGGATTTTCATTTTGTTTATTTTGTTTTTATTACAGCAACTCATAAAACCCATCCATTGAGATGGAAAAGAGTTGAGGATCTGCTTTGGTGGAGCAAATGCCCAAATTGTGCAGTCACAGTTCCTTGAAATGCCAAACTAATTAATGTATTTGTAAAGGAAACCAGAAGGTCATCGTAGTTTAGAAAAGAGCAGCTATCCAGTGGACCAGCAAACATATTTTAGGCCACAAAAATGTTATTGGGCTGAAGATATTTTTTGACCTATTTGCCATTATTTAGCAAATTAATTTTAACTGCTCTTTGGGGATAAGGTAGTCTTGATAGGATCATAATATAAAAGAACTCAATGTAATAAAAGCATAGAAATCAGAGAGCAATAGTAGAGGAAAAAGGAGAGGTGGGGGGTGTGTGTGTGTGTGTATGTGTGCGCGCGCTTGCGTGTGCTAGCTTGTTTGTTATTTTAC